ACCTATCCATGCCCACCTATCCATGCCCACCTATCCCTGCCCACCTAACCACGGCCACCTATCCATGCCACCTATCCACGCCCAGCTATCCACACCCAGCTATCTATGCCCACCTATCCATGCCCACCTATCCATGCCCACCTATCCATGCCACCTATCCATGCCCACCAATCCATGCCCACCTATCCATCCCCACAGAACCAGTTGTTAAAAAAATTGAATCTGCCCCCTGGTTGAGGGCAGATAGAGGTAATGATAGTTCAGTCCAGTCTCTCTTGCACGAAAAGGGGTAGGGATTTTTTTGCAACTATTTTCACTCCAAACTAAAATAAAAATTAATCTCTCATTTTCCGTTTTAAATTCCATTTAGAAAAAACCCTGTCACTATGTTGCCTCATAAAAAAGGTGTCTTAGTTTCAAGGATGTGGATGATTGTAGGAAATTTGTCTCCTTCAAAGTAAACATTAATATATCTCCCTTGGGAACCTTTCTTGCAGATGCCCCTCCAGCCCCACTGCTGAAAGTGGATCCGTTGTCCCAGAGGGTGAAGGAAGGTGACCCCTTTGTCTTCCTCTGCTCAATGGAAGGAGGAGACCGAGAGAAGAGGTTCCACTTCTACAAGGATGGGGTGGAGATCACCTCCAGTGAAGAAGGTCTTCTGGAACCCTCCACTGACCCCACAAACACTCTTCAAAATGCCTATCTGAGAATCCCTCATGCCTCGTTCAACCACAGTGGGGAATTTGCCTGCAGTTATGAAGAGAAGAGAAGCGACCGATGGGTCTCGTCTTCTTGGAGTCGAGGGAAGAAGGTCACAGTTGAGCCAGGTAGGAGGAGATTTGGAAGTGGTTGAACCTTGAGACCACCAAGGCTAAACTAGGAAGGACAAAGAAAGTCCTGGAGAAAGGCGAATGGGTTTTTGTGGGTTTGTTAACTAGCTCCACAGAGAAGTCCATGGAAAATCCAGAAAGTGAGCTTGATTAAAAGAAACGCAGGTCTTTTTCATTGGTAGATTTAATAGAATCTAAACCTTCAAGAACAGGGAGAGTAAAAATGTCTTCCAAGAAATACTAAATCATCTTTCTTGTTTGTTAGTCAAATCAGTTTGGACCCAAGATTCAAATCTTATATGGAAACATTCCTGGATGGCGATTCCTCTTATAATCCTACTGGTTCCATTTGCCTTTTATTGGTGGAGGAAGAATAACAGTAAGTCAAGTGATTTCGGTTCAAGGATGCTCTTACTGAGGTTCTAGGTGGCTCCTTATGTGGTGGGAGATGTTGACTAAAAGATCTTCTGAGGAGGCAGGAAAGGAGAGCCAGATCTGGATTTGAGAGGGTTAGGCGATATGTGAGAATGGCGGACTGATTCATCCTTCTTTTTATTTTTATTGCTGTCTTGGAAGCATCTCCACCCCATGAGCAGTTCCAGCTGGTGGAACAGAAAGTGGAAGGTGATCTTCTTGGAATGATGGAAACTCAAGCAACAACAGCAGCTACATCTTCATCTGCCAAGGTAGCTGGTGGGATTCATGGGTGATTTTGATCAGCGTCGACAGGGCAGTTCCGTTTGCCCTGGAGATTGAAACCAGGTTCATGGAATTTCATCTAATGACATTTGATCGTCCTCTGGAGCCATCCAACTGTGGTTGTGTGGAGAAAAGCGTGATGTAGCTGGGCTTTAGAGCACCTGAACCTTACTGGTGTAATGTTATTAGACAGCTGTACTCTAATTCTTCAATTCAGGCAGACTTTAGTTTCTGAAGATCCACTTGTCTTGATCTGTGTGAACATCTACTCTTTATTTCTTTACTTATTTGGTTTCAACCAAAGAATTTAGGCAGTGTAGTACCCCTAGATATTTCTTTCAAAGCTGGGGAAGCATAATTCTCTTTTTTCCCTTCAATTTAACAACTCATGTGTTGCCCAAGATATTTTATTGGCCTTAAAGCTCACACACACCTACAAAATGAAAGATATATTTAAGAAAACTTAGTAGCCAATTACTCTACTCAAGCGTTGGAGGCAAAGGGATGGTCCCTGTGGGTTTCTTCTTAAAAGCATCTCATCACCCTCAGGAATCTGAGACAGGAAATTTGGCTTGGTCAGATCTGATGCCAAAGATCAACCTTTCTTCTTTTCCTTGATGGGTTGGCAATCTTTCAAGGCTGCAGCAGACCAGTCAAACTTACTTATTTCTAAAATGGTTGCAACATGATGGAGAAATCCCTTGATCTCAAGGAGTTGCAGGCAGATTGAATGTTTGAGCAATGTCCTCTCTTTCCCTCACTTTCCCCAGGACTCTGAGGTCACCTACAGCTGCATCCAGGACTCCTTCACCCGGTCTCCTCCTGGACCAACAAGGGAGAACCATCCTACACCGTGGGAAGAAGAGGGGGTATTGTACAGTGACATTGCGTTCCAACCCAAAAGGAGGCTGCAAAGTCATCCCTGATTGCAGCAAAATGTATCTCTTAGTCCAATCCCTTATTTGGGAAGACATGGGCATCACCCTTGAAGACATAATGATCTGTCCTTCAATTTATGGTGGAAGAGAAAACACATCAAAGAGGACAAAATCCTGGACATTATCTTTTTCTACTTCTATCTTGGTGTAGATTTGAGCCTGCTGGGAATACTTCCATTACAACCTCTTTTCTTCATAATGTACTTTTTGGTTTTGTCTTCTTCAGAGCTGGTACTTCAATATATTGAGGAAATATAATCTTTCCTCTATATGGTCGAATGGATCTTGACGGATTGGCTTGTCTGGATTTGGACTGTTGAGGTTGTTCAGTTCCCTCTTTGATGATGTTTCACCTAGAAAGTTTCTAAGAGAGGCCAAAGAAATAGACCTTGGTTTGGGCAGACACACACGCAGAGAGAGAGACCTGATGCATCAAAGAAGTGCAGCAATGGTGGGATTCAATTTTTCTGTGGGTGTGGCTTGGTGGTCATGGCGTGGCTAGGTGGACGTGGTTTGGTGGGTATGGCAAGGGAAGGTTACTGCAAAATCCCTATTTCCTCCCCATCACACTAACCTGTTTTCCAGCTCCGTTCTCCTGTGCAGGGCAACCAAAGAAGACTCAGCCAATCAGCTGGGACTTGGAAGGCGGAGAATAGATGGGGGTGGGGCCAGTCAGAGGTGGTATTTGCCAGTTCTCCGAACGACTCAAAATTTCTGCTACCGGTTCTCCAGAACTGGTTGGAACCTGCTCAATATCACCTCTGAACTGCAGTGAGAAGTAGATTGGTACTGTAATATATTGGGGAAAGATAATTTTTTAGGGTGGGAGTTTGGTCCAATGGATTTAGTTTGTTGAGGTCTTCCATATGAAATCTTCACTATATTCCATACAGAAAACCCTTAACAGAAGCCAAAGAAAAACTGCTTGATTTGGAGAAAAAGAGAGAGACAGACCTCATACATAGAACAGTGTTGTAATGACGAGGCAGTTGAGTTGTTTGATCATGATCAACTGAATCATGATGATCTTTATTGGAGTCTAGTCTTGCATTTATACACATTTTTAATTATCCTCCATCATTGGTTAACTTTGGTTACTGCTTAACTTTCGTTACTGTTTAGCATAGTAATTAACACAATTAATTATCTCTAGTTAAAGTCTAACATATGTTTACTTCCTCTCTCTAATCCTCCTTTAGATTAGTGACTTTGTTTGCCTGAGTTGTATTTGCTTGGAAACATTCTTTATCTGAGGTTTGCCATCCGAGATTGGAACATTCCTGCAATTACAACTCTACATATCCTTGTTTTTTTATTTTAAATGAAGGATTCTAAGATTTATGAATGTCTCGCAATTGTAGAGGAGTAAGAGAGGGGGAAGTAGGACAAAACGATGCAAATAAATTTGGAATACATTGAATAAAACAACAGGTTGCAATTAGTACAATCATAATAATTATAGCATAAAAGAAAAACTGTCTGAGCCAAGACCAATCAGGGAGCCAATTGGTTAGTCACTCAAAAGGTGAGTAATGAGCATGGATATTATTTTAAATATATGATTGTAAATTGGCAAGCTCATCCTCAATAGTTTTATTCAAAGAATGAAAAATTCTGAGGTGAACATTAGTAGCATATTTATCAAAAAAGAATCACATATTAGGATCCTTAAGCTGCCAACCAGCGTATGTCAATCCTGTATTAGATTGATCAGAGGCATTAAAAATAGGAAAATTGTCAGGATACATATCAGGAGCTATATTAATTCCATACAAAGAAGAATTAAAAGTACCTGACAACCAATAGTAGTCAGAACAATAACTATAATTCCCTAGCTTTTTTTTTTAATGTGCTGAGCAGCATCATAATCAGACCAATTATGAAGTCAAGTGTGTTTAGCATGAAAAAAGAAACACGGACCCTTTGTAAATTGACTAACTTTCAAGTAACGCCAACTGACAGAATTCAATTGCATAGGGGGGTTAGAAAATAGCCAGGAGTGTGAAACGAACCACAGAAGTGTCATTTTGAGCAGAAACACCATTAACCATAAACAAGAAAATACAGAGTAAAATGGTAACAGAATTAGCAGTAATAATAGCAAAAACAGCAGCAACAAGATTTTCAGGAATTTGAGGTAATGAGGCCTGTTGCAGTTGTTGTTGAGCTTGATATGTAGTAGATTCAACCTGGCCCCAAGTGATGGGTTGCGGGCACGTCGACCTTGGAAGATGGACTTCCGTGTTTAGATGAAGATTGAAATCCGGAATTGGGTTGTGAAGACCCTGATGCCATGCCATGCCATGCCATGGACGAACACAGCACACTGGAACCCACACCGCTTGTCAAGTAGAATGATCTTCCACGGCACCATAACCATGACCCCAGGTGATCAGCGGTGTAGGGCCTTTCCAGGTTGGATCTGGAGCTCGGCGATATTTAACCAAAGGCCTTGCTAAAGATTCAGTAGTTCGAAAATGCAAATTAACAAGTGAGTCTGCAGGAGAATCTAAAAAGGTTAAATAATTCCAAGTATATAATGCTACAGCAATGAGATTTTGAGTCTTTCGCAGATGGTAAGGGCCAGACTCAGTTTGTAATTGTTTCTGAAGCAATGCCTTAAAAGTACGATGAGCTCACTCAACTATAGCTTGACCCTGAGAGTTGTAAGGAATTCCATGCACTAAAGTAATATTCCATTTCTGACAAAAGGCTTGAAATTCCTTACTAATATAAGCGAGGCCATTGTCAGTTTTCAACTGAGAAGGCCAACCCATTACAGCAAAAGAGGATAGGCAATGAGAAATAACATCTGAAGTACGTTCATGTTTGGAAGCAGTAACCCAAAGGAAGTGTAAATGAGTGTCAATAGACATATGAAGATAACAGTATGGCTTAAAGTTTGAAAATTGAGTTACATCCATTTACCAAATCTGATTAGCTTGGGTTCCTCATGGGTTGACACCCACTGGAAAGGGAACTGCCAGTTGCTGATAAGCTGGACAAGCATGGACAATATCCCAGGCTTGAGATAATGAAATTTTAAATTGCTTTGCAAGCGATTTGGCATTTTGATGAAAATAAGAATGGCTATCAACAGGATCAACAAACAAAGACGCAACATCCTTTAAGGATTCATCTGCCTTCCGATTTCCTTCAGTCAAGGCATTAGTAAAGGGAGTATGACTTCGAATGTGTTCTACATACTAAGAATACAAGCGAGTTTCCAAATTATTCTTTAAAGATAAAAACAAGGATATCAAATTCTTATCCAAAGAGAGAGCACAATAAGAAAAAGGAGGAGATTGTATAGCTAAATACACATATTGAGTATCAACGATCAAGTTAATAGGTAGGTCATTGAACAATTGTAAAGCCAAAATCACAGTAGCCAGCTCAGCACATTGAGCTGAAGTCTGCGTGGCAGTAAATTTAGAATACCATTGTTTTTGAATCTGCCAGACAACCACACCCCTTGTAGGTGATCCATTAGTAAAGACTGTAAGAGCTTTAGAAATAGAATTTAGAAATTTCGCACAAAAATGGAAGAAAAGGCCGGATTCAATTCTAGGATCCTTGGGTAAAGAATACAACAAGTTTCCCACATATTAAGAAAAGGCTATCTGATATGATTCTGAAATCATCATCAAATGCTCATGTTCAACTTTTGTACGAGTAAAAGCTATGCTAATGAGATCCTGTCCTGTAAGATGTAAGGCTCGTTTAATAATCAAATCCTCTAATGCTGACTGATAAGGATAAATGTTTCTAGGCGGAGTAGCTGACAAATTAATCCATTCATGAATGTTGACTGCTTGTGGAGAGGCATTAGAATAAAGACATCCTGTGGGTAAGGGTGCAGAAGGAAGAATAGCTAAACAAAGTCCTATTGTTAAGGATGTTATCCTGTCCACATATCAATGCTTAAACTTATTCAATATTTCTTGAAGGCATGTTCTTTGAAGATCAGTTAATACAACTAGATCTCCTGGTGATTGTGCACCCTTCAAAGACTGAAATGAGGGCAACATATCACCAGTTGTAATGTAGAAGAATGGGCGTGCCCAATTAATAATGCCAAGTAATTTTTGCCATTGTACTAATGTATATGATTTCTGTATTTGTAATTCAGGAAGAATTGGAATGGAGGAATTGTGCAACTTCCTATGTCCTAAGTAGGTACAAGGTTCTACCTTTTGAATTTTGTCTGAGGCTATATACAATCCCTGTTGTACCACAATAGCCATTAACTCTTTTAACAACTTAGATTCATCAAAATCCAGGGCTGCTATCAATATATCATCCATATAATGATAGACTAAATAGGAAGGAAATTTATTCCGAAAGGGTTGAAGGGCATTATCCACGAAATATTGACAAAGTGTAGGGGAATTAAGCATTCCCTGAGGCAACACTCGCCAATGATATCGTTTTGTGGGCATTCTATTATTAAAAACTGGGACAGTAAATACAAATTTTTCTTTGTCTCGAGGCTGCAAAGGTATAGTAAAAAAGCAGTCTTTAAGATTAACTACCAATAATTTATAAAAATTAGGAATTAAGTTAGGATTTGGTAGACCACATTGTAAAGGACCCATGGGTTGGATACATTTATTAATTTCACTTAAATCCTGCAGGAGGCGTCATTTCCCATTTTTCTTTTTTATAACAAAAACAGGAATATTCCAAGGACTAGTAGAAGATTCTATGTAACCAGCAGCCAATTGTTCTTGAACCAATTGTTGTAAAGCAGCAGGTTTTTCCCTTGATAATGGCCATTGTTCCACCCAAACCGGCGTAGAACAGAACCATTTAAGAGGAAGAGCCATCATCAAGAATCAAATGGGCATTAAGAAGAGAAAGGATATCATGGCCCCAAATATTAGTATGAATATCTAGAATGTATGGTTGTAGGAAAAAGGACTTACCAGCAGATGTTGTAACATTATTTTTTTGAACACTCTGCCAAGCAACTGTAGAACCTCCTA